GCCACTATTTTTTGTTACTATCACACTATATGTGTAACAACATGTCATCTTTTTTTGTTACTATCACACTTTATGTGTAACAACATGTCATCATTTTGTCCTAGTGTCATAATTTCTGTAACAACATGTCATCATTTTATATTACTATCAGACATTAAGTGTAACAACATGTCATCATTTTATGTTACTATCCGACATTAAGTGTAACAACATGTCATCATTTTATTATTGCTCATAAATGAAGTTATTGCTGATCCATCAATAATTACCGGCAGCTCATCAACGTGGTCACGGAGACAACAAATAACGCTCTACATTCAGTCTTAGACAGTCACGTTTAATGAATCTTGTCTTAAAAGTCATGTTATGATACTGGATTACCTTTGAGTACTGGAAAAAATGCATTCCTTATTTTTTGACAACAAATTGTTTAAATAATTGTTTAAATTGTTTAGATCCCATGCACAGCGATGCTAAAGGTTCTTCTCACACAAATGAAAGAGAACCACCCACTATATCAAGGTACAAAAATTACTTCCAACGATATGTTACTCCAAAGATTCAACTATTATAGACGACGTGTGACATTCGAAAATATAAATACCAATATATCTTTTTAATGGTTTTATATATATATATATATATATATATATATATATATATATATATATATATATATATATATATATATATCTTTTACAGAGCAACAAAAGTCTTCCAAACGAAAACTGGTTCAGCAAAGATCGTATTGATCAGGGAAATAATGCAAACGCATAAAAAGTAAATGACGCTGCAAAACTGTTGTGAAATCAGTCCAAGTACTTGAGTAACTATTACTTTTTCCATGGGCACATAGTCACAAAAGACGATGACACAAATGAAACTGAAACAAAAGACACAAACGTAAGTACCAAACACAATCAACATGATGTTTGCTGCAAATACTGGTTGACCACCAGGTTAGTATAGTTACATCCGAACTAAAGACCATCTTTAGACATGTCAAAAACACATGTGAAGGAAATATGTGTAGGAAATGATTAAATGAATTAAGTTTATTATTTGTAACGGATAAACAGTCATTTATTGGACCATGTATTCATATTATTGTCTTGTATTCGAAAAGCTATTTTGGCTTTCTTTCTATCGGATAGCAAATGTTTGAAAAATAAAATTTATAAAAACCCTCCTTGATTACACATTGTAAAATTGCATAATAAGTTTCACAACATCTATCTTCACAATGATATCTCTACTGAGGAGGACCGAAAACGAAACCAATGAAATACTGGACTTGTCTATCAAGTAGCTATATGGAAAATACTTCACACCTAGAAATTAGTCTGAGAAATAAACCTCCTTATTTAGCTTAGCCAATCAGGATATACCTTTCTCTCGCCGTAAATATGTTAGCACTCCAATCGAAGTCAGAATAATTCTCTATCGACTGCTATTATTAAAAACTATTTTGGAAAATATTATTTATGACACCTATTTCAATGGATCACGATTTCCCAAAATTTGCAAGGAAATAAAAGCTTTATGCATTCATGTTATGGAAACGGAAATTGAGTGTAGTGTCAAAGTTGGCAAGATTTAAATGATGACGACAAACTGGTTGGTAACCAGGAACCCCTAGAAAGGTGTGGTGTAAATTACACCGTGTGTGTTCTAGTATCTTGATTTCCATTGTTATTAATTTTTGGCCCATCATTCTTTGATTTGTAATCAAGCAAACACCCCACCCCAAGCAAAGGCATCTCCTAGTACGACAAAATAACCTATATTTTGATAAGATATGTTTTCTCATAGAAAATCTGTGCATATGGGTTCATAGATGCGAGCGATAGTATGTGTGTGTGTGTATTTGCATGTTGTTTCAGCTTTATCTGAATTATTTAGGAGCTTATATATATATATATATATATATATATATATATATATATATATATATATATATATATATATATATATATATATCGGCATAATAGTTGCCAATGGGTTAGTGCCAGTAGATTTATATGTAAGACTGTATTTTCTGTTAATGTTGGTCACTTTGTGAAACCTAATTCCCAAACACAATTATATAAATTTCAAGTCCTTGCTACACGTGAAAGGCTGTTGATGCAAACGTTTCAAGATGGTGAAAACCAATTAATTTCTACCAGATGTGGCAATCACGAATCCGACAGGGACTAATTTACCCACATCTAATTGTACTTTCGAAAAGTGGTTTTATTAATGCAGAAGAATAGAACAGAATCCAAATCTTTGTTTGATACTCTTTGCAGATAGGGTTTAGTAGGTTTTAATGCACTTTTGTATCGTGACATTTGCTCTTTAATTTACTATCCCTATATTAAGGAGGAGTACCGAATTGGAACCGACGTTAAAGATATATTTATTCCATCCTTTATTTATTTGTAATCGCTAAGTATTGAAATCATTTAAATTATTCTTGAGAAAATACAATATACAAAGTCGGGTAGTAAAAGAGATTGTTGCTTTTTATTATATGTTCGAGTTAAGACGTTTACAGTAAGTGTTGCAAAATATTTGTACATAACCTTTGACCTCGAGAATGACATCACTAAACTCATATCAGACGCTGTCAAGAGATACACATATGCTAACTTTCGTTTAAGACATAAATAATTTACAAAAATAACAACAAAGGTATTGAACTGGAATTAGTATTATTTATATACTATTGTTTATATGCAACTCGAACCCCATTTGATTAAAATTCCTACTGCTCACAATGCACTGCAACTTATTCGGGGTGGGGGACTGACGGTCAGCTTGTCTATTGACGAATAATTATACATAATATTAGTTAAATTTACGTAAATGTCACCGTGTACAAAATTGCATGTTGTGACCTTTAACTGAATCTCAAGGTTTTGATTGAAACCCTATGTTGAGTAAGCCTAGTTTTCAAACATGGTAACAGTAACACGGATACGTTGGTAACCAACTCTGCGCCATTTTGCAGTCCTTTATGTGATCGTGAGTTTGCACATTGCAATATTCCAAAATGTTCTTATGGTGTTTCAGTAACTGTCAAACTTATTGAATTATTCATTAACGATTGAAATATATGCAACATCAATATTTTCATAAAACTGATTGCATGGCAACTACAGAAAGATAATATTAAAGAGATTAAATGCCAAACTCTATGTCGTCTACAACTAATTGACTGTGATGGTATTGATTAAAAACGTTGAATGTACTTTGTTTTTAAAAGACTTAAGGTGGCGCTCTACAGTTTCGTATTTAGCATAGGGTTAAAAATTTAAAGAAAAAGCATTTCCCAGGTTTACCTCGCTGGTTGTACTGGGTATATAATGAAGACTTTGTATATCTTAGGTGTTGTTAAAAGAACTTTTAATTCCCTTTATTTTGGTGTATGATTGATGGGTGTAATTTGGGTTAAGGAGTATACAGCTTGGGCTCACTTGAGGTGTGCTCATGTTAAAAAACTGCTAGCTCCGCTTGGTCATTTTCACTTCCTGTACTTCAGAGGTAAGTTGTAGAAAAAAGAGCCGATAACTTTTTTGGTTTTTCAGATATTTTGTAATTTGTTCATTGCACTTTCAGAAACTGCTATTGCCTACTTTAGGAAAATTCGTTTTCCCTATTTTAATATCTGCTAAAGTTAGTGTACTTTTCACTAATTCAGGTTAATTTGTCGAGCACATGGGTGCATCCATTTTGTTATACTGTATGCTTACATCATGTACAATTTTCACAAGTACAGTATCCAAAGAAATGTCATCCACATTACATCAAAGTATCATAGAGGTATGGCAACATTCTCTTCACTGTGCATATTAAAAATGCAAACAACTTCACCTTACGTACATCACTCTCTCAAAAGTACATAATAACTGGTGAGCGCCACCTAAATGGGAACATATGGGTCGGCAAGGAATTTGGGGAGGGGGTAGGGAGGGGCAAATACATTTTTCTAGGGATTGTTTATCGAAACCAGAACCAAAGGTGCTATTTATATATTTCATAGTGGAGTTTCAAAATCCGGAGGGGATCATCTGCAGTACATATTTAGATTAATTACAACATAAAGTTAATGTCTTCAAAGACGAGTGATACTTCCTGAAAGACAATGACTGCAAAACGTAAAGTTTCCCACAAGCGAATAAAGTATTTGTAGCATTTTCGGGCACAGACTCCTTTCCCTGACAAACATACATTTTGATGAAGTTTAAACAGGCGATAACTCTCCTGACAAGTTTGTTTTAAAGTGAGAAATAATATTATTGAAATAACTCTTTAAAATAGTTCGACATCCATGAAATAAACTAAAAATCTAAATGCATATATTGTGAGTCAAGAGATGCGATAATGATATGTCGCCATTATGAAAGCAAATTAATGAAAGTTTCAGACAATCTACTGGTCTATGGATGTAAACCATTCATGACGATGTTACACACACGCGCACGCACGCACACACACACACACGTTTATGTTACAGTGTTTTTGGTTAAAACTTATCGCAAATGCAAACTTTCTTGCCACACATTATAAAAACCCATCGAAAACATTTCAGCATAATGAGCAACAACTCTTGCTTTTGGGTGGGTAGCTCTTTCGAAAGAAATGTTATGTCAAATCTTGCATGCTTAAAAGCCAATTCTTTTTTGTATATATATTTAAATAAAGGAACCAATGAAGCGCCTTTCACTCCAAGTTCAACAGCACATGCAGTACTTAGCGCATTTTAGAACTTTCCAAACTTTGAAGCATGTTCTTTCGACTCATTCATATTTTAAATACCTAAACTGGACAAATATAACTTATTTCATTTACAAAGAATCGTAGGAATTAAGCATAGATGTTACATGCAAAACGAATGATAATATCAATTAAGTTCATTGAAAATGTCAATTAAGATTATTAAATATAACTGATTATATCAATTAAGATCTTTAAAGATCAATAAACTTGTCACGAAATATTACAAAAGTTTGACAGCTCTGGTGGTCTAAGTGGTTAAGAGTATCCGCCTCGGATGCGGGAGGTCGTGGTTCGATCCCCGGCCGAGGCATATCAAAGACATAAAATTTATACTAGCTGCTGCCTCGGTTGGCGCCCAGCATTAAGAGGTTAGTGTTAGGATTGTTAGAACTTGTTTTAGCTAACAATTTTTCTTGAATTGCACCAGAGGACATCATGATATCACAATTATCATATTTTAGGGGCTTTGCAGGCTGTTTGGAGTTTATTCTCCATTTTTAATCAGCCGGCCTGTGTAAGAATTAAAACGTTTATTTCCGGAATGTGACAAAGTTTGTCATCTTGACACGACGTATATAAATTATGAAATAAGTGTCGGATTAAGGGGGACACAGATGTGCACTTTTCCCGGTCCCTTCTAATCATGTGGGCAAACCTGGCAAACAAGAGACTTGGTCTGCGGACCGGACTAATGTACTGGTCTAATCTAATACTTAGACATACATAGGTATACTAACTATACACATATACAGAACAGTGTAAGGACTGTCCCATCTTCCCTTCCCCCACCCCCAAACCTTAACCAGGATCTATGAGAAACGATTGCTTAATTGACGGTACAAAATGTTACATACATAATAACACAATAAAATGGAGTTGTATGCTGAAGCAAACGATAATAAAAGACAATGAGACTTCGAACGTATTATATTGGATTATATTGAAATAATTATCGGATTAAACTGACATAATTATCGGATTATATTGACATAATCATCGGATTATATTGATATAATCATCGGATTATATTGACTTAAGAACTGTCGTAATGGTAAAGTGGGAAGCATGGTGTAAACATGGCTGTGGGAGAAGATTACAATACTTTATACAGTTCCTACCTGATTAGAAACGTTTCATCATGAGATCTATAAGGGAAGTAGCCGGCAATCGCATTGAACGAAATTTGTCTAATGTATTCTTCTATCAGATTGCAAATAAATTATATGTTTGGAAAGGCATTTTCGCTAAGATTTTATTCTAATGTATATTTGGTATTTGATTATAAACACTCACCAATGTATTGTCTAACCTTTGACAAAAAGATCGAAGAAGAGTCGACACAAAATTAAATAATGCATGTGGTAATACTTTTGTAAAGCCGATGTCGATTACACTATCTCCAAGAGCCTTCAATATCATCTGTCACTAGTGATGGTTTTATATTGCTGCCAATGAATTTTGCAAAACACCCGATTTTGGCAGAAAGAAAAAAAATCGATATTATGTCAGTAATTCAAAGAATAATAAAGGATAAGGATTATTTCAAATTTGAAAAATATAGGTTTACAAGAATGTACATAAAACACAATGCTTGTTATTACAATGTGATTATTTAAATATATCATTCGAGCTGTTAAAGTTCCTGAAGAAATGTATATAATAACAGATGCTCAAACGAAGGCTAATTTCAGAATTTGAAGAATCTACTGGGTAGGCTTTCAATCATAGCAGTCGGTTAAATCATTGACCTTTTTGAACCCATGGGCTACTGTACACCCATGGTCTAAAGCCTTATCTAATGAGAAGAACCCAATGACAGTCAAAGAAGGATTTGCTAAGCATTATGATATGAGAACCATTTCCCTATATATACACCAGTCAGTATGATTTATTCATTGATTACACAATCATGCTTATTGCAAATCAGGTTCCTAATATTCTAATTATTGTTGAGATATATCAGGCTTCTTAATTCTGTATATTAAATTTCACTCTGACTATTCGAGGAAATTTTCACATGTAGTTTAAGCATTTGGTCCACATTGTTTGCTTTCTGACCACTGAAGATATAACTATATAAATATATCAGCTATCATAGAAAAGTACTCGCTAGACAGGAATTTCCATAATATAGTTGTTTGTATGCCTTTTAAGAAATGTATTGCAGATGTTGTTTTCTGTATAAACGGGCTAATTTTCTTTTTTAAAAAATTGTCATAATTATAGCTATATTCAATGCAAGTTTCATGTGTGCATCTATGTGCCTGAGCTTGAGAGAAAATTTGATGCTGAGGGTATGGTAAAGTCTGCTCAAAGCAAAATCTATATGATCATTATTTTATAATAAATTATATTACATAATACTTGCATTGAGGAGTCTTTTGAACAGGAAAGAAAACTTGTACATAGGAAGTGCTCGGTATCTCAAAAGCTGATTAAAGCTGATATAGAAAATCGTCAGTGTCAAACCAAGAAAAACCAGCTTATGGTATAAAAAATTAATTATCTCTACTAGAAAATATTTTCAAGCTAGAATTATGAGGTTGACCTTGATGTTCTATGAGACTGCCATACTCACTGCCATTTCACTTGTCGTGTATAAAAATCTAGTTAAGATTATTTGCATTAGATCCATTTAGATTAAATTTGCATAACAAGCGGATGTTAATTTGTTTATGAAAACATGAGAAACGTATGCTTTGAAACATATTTTAAATACATAAAGCAAATCACTGTCTTTCTAAATGAAATAAATATGATTCATTTACTAAAATAAGCAGTCGAGTTCTTGATAGGGGCAGTTCGTTTTATATATTGTGTACTTTAGTTTTGGTGCGATCATGTAGTTGGCATTTGATCTATAAATGTGTTTACGATCCTTAATATCAATATTTATAATGAAACAGTTCGTGATTTCGGAGAAAATTCAAATAAGATGATTGGGTAATTTGATTGAATTTTACCACGTGGAGACTTAAGAACTGTCGCTTAGAAATTATTGTGACTCAAGCCAAGCGTCGGGTAGGAACATATTGCGAACTAGAACCGTATGGGTCTATAAAAGGAGGTGAAGATGGACATCTAATTTATTTTTATTTCGTATGTTCTTGTATTAAAATCGGTATACAGATGTGTTTAATCTTGTGTTTAGTTATAATCTGAGCGGAAACATTTATTTGGATTATTCATTGGAATTACAAAAATGCTAATTGACTCTGGACTAAAATGTCATTCTGGGATTATTGTGAATTTATTAAAAGGAGTTCATGACAATGCCAGTATGATAATCAAGACTGTTGGCACATTAACACATTGGAAGAGCTGGAATTAATTCGGAAAAATTGATTCTTTTGGGCTTTTGAGCAGAATTTTTCAGGATTATTTAGATTAAATTCGTCATATTGTAAGTCCATTTATAGTGTTTCATTTTAAAACTTAGGGAATTAAATCGTTTGTTAAGTTTTACAAGACTTGTTGGTTTTGCTTCTTTCTGTTATTTAGTTTAGGACCATAAAGTCGTAACCCAGCAAACTCTGTTTAGAAAGTGGCAGTAAGTGACGACAGATGGTCAACATGCTTAACTTCGTCCTTGATTAGTTTTGTTTTAGAAGTTATAAGAATGTTCCAAATTTGATTAGTAATGTCTAGCATTATGTCTAACGTGACTTTGTCGACATATTTTGACAAACGACTTTAGTATAAATCCAAGATGAATATATATGATGCTGTTTAACATCTAATCATATTAAAATAAGAAATATTCATTCGGGTTGGTTTATTAAATTGAAAGGAAATCTTCATTGCAAATTCTTGAAAGTTATACCTTTAAGGTTAGATGTAAATATTTACAGAATATGTGTATTTCTTGTTGCAATATTATTTAATAAATTATGATGTATATTTACATTGTATTGTGTGATTGAATATAGGAGTTAGGGCCTACATTTGTAATGTCAAGTAGGATAAGTACGTTTACTAAGTCTGGGGTTTGGATACAGCCTTGTGTGATTGGGTGATTTTAACATTAAAACCCTCCTCCTTTTACTCGTCATCGTTAACTAGCGAATGATCTACCGCGTTGTAATTTGCCCAGTGTGTACGGATAGATGGAACGATTCGGATAGCTGAGCAAAGTACTGACAGAAATCAAAACAACTAGCCCCCTTTCAATAAATAAAAACATAAAATTTTAATTAGTTAATATATAATGAAAAGAAAGAAAAAAAACAATTCCCGTACAACCTATTTACTAAATTACATATACTCAATTAGCATAGCTAAAATTCACCTTCCAACTGACTGATTGTCAGTGACAATTTAATTACAGTGTAGGACTTTCGTCATGCTTTACGAGTGTTGACTTTGAACACAATCTCCAATGCTTTGACAGCATCACCTGTCAATGGTCCTCTCACGACTTGTTTAAAACGTCTAACTACGTGCTATACCGACGCTCGCTATTCGGACATCCCGTAGATGTAGATTTCCCCTTTAACTCATTGGGTTCCTTTCATGTTCCTCCTTTTCCTTCTTTCGTTCGGAGTGCGAAGTACGAAGCTGTCCTCCTACTGCCGTTTTTCTCTTTCCAAACACAAAGTGTCCTAGCCTAGTCTGTCTTCTATTTCTAAGACAACTACATGGCTCCTTTGTTGTAATTTATCGAAGAATACTACTCACTAGCGTCTGCGGAGTCGGCTTAGTCTTCTGTCAAGAAAATCTGACTAAAGGATATTTTCAAGAGATAGTTCCTAAATTGTTTTTCAAAGTGTACGCCCTTAAGTTTCCCTGGCCAATCAGAAAAAACTGCTCATAAAAATGTTCCCTCCAAATAACGCATCTGTCATCGATTTCACTAGCTTGAACATGCTACAATTAGCTTCCTTTGAAACTTCGATTATTTGACGTGTACCCCTTTTGAACCGATACGGGTCTGAGTATGATTACGCGTACGCTATGTACCATAAAAAAATGACCGGGTCAGAGTCTACTGAAGTTAAACGTAGATCATATTATGTTTAGAAATGAAATAAATAAATAATTATTGAACTGTCTCCAAACCTTTCTTCTTCGAGTATATTAACTTGAAAGCACAGTTTATTTAACCTTGAGTTTCAACAAGTTTCAAAATTCGACACATCCTTGATTCAGACCTTAGAATTTTTTAAGAAAAGCAAATTTTATTCACAGTTTCATGGAAATTCCATTTAGAGGAATGAGTTAATATTGATCTATATAAGATATAAGATTGTATATGTCTAAATAAGATAGAAGATTGTTTATAACTTAGAATTTCTAGAAATGAACATTTCA